CAAGCATTTAGACCAGAAATAGCACTTCGTGCAATAATCATAAGAGATTCTTTAGGGAAGTACATAGCCATTTCATTGACAACTCGAACGGTGTTACTGCTCACCATCAGAAGCACAGTGAAAGACGATGTTATGATTTACAGGTGAGGTGTGGGGGGAGGGACCTAGCACTTCAGGAATGGAACTGCACTGGAAAAGTTTAGATTCATCATAAATTCTATAAAGGACTTGGTTGTATTTGTTGATTATGAATTAGGCTTTGAAGAGCACTTGAGTAATTCAGTGGAATGAGGCTTAACAGAGAGTATTCTTGCTACTCAGATAGTTCAAATCTTAGAACCCGAGACGCACATGGGCCTGATAAAGGCATTTCGCCGCTTCTCCTCACTGCCGGCGGTTCCTGTGGAGACAATTTGATCTTCTGTAAAACTATGCAGTAGCATGAGCTTCGTTAACAGTTGACAAGAGTCTATAGGTCTATCCAAGGTAAGACTCTTACTTAAACAAGATCTGGCAAAAGAAATTAGCGAAAGTGCGAGATTCCTCCTGCCCCCGCGCCCCTCTCAAGCCGAATAGCGCTAAAATGTGCGCTAAATTTTCGGCTATGGCGCAAATCTATACACCATAAAAAATTAACGATAATGTCTGTCTTCGCCGTTAATCAGTCCTTTTTTGAGGTGCCAATCAGAATCGCACTCGCATATTTAATGCTACGGGGCTACACAAAGAGTTGGGAGGGGGGGGGGTGGCAGCCAATGTACAAGTCAGTCCATGCTCCCAGATGTCTTCTTATCCTCTCAGATGGATCTGGTACCATTTGCCGTCCCCGCAGGAAAGAAGGCTTGGTTGGGCTGAGCGACAGCCGTTCCGCCTCATGGTGTATAACATACCGAACAAGCGACTTGATTTGAGCTCAAACTCCTTCATTGAGTTGGTAGCGTCCAGGACAAGGGATGAGCGGTTCAAACTCCCTCTTCGGCATCCAGCTCGATACGAAGGTGCAAATTTTTCACGCTTACCACTGAAGCAAGAATGGATGAACACGACTATTCTATCTGTATCGTTACCAACAAATCCATAGAATATGGGCACAAACATTAGCTACATGGGCTTAATATTTAGCGTTTTCTGTTGGTTTAAAGCTTTTGTTCCGCAGACTGTTGTTCATTTTAAGATTTTCAATTCATTTCACCTACTGGAAAACAAAATTAGAGATTTCAAATGTAAACAGTGAAGTTCCAAGTAAGTCGCGATGAATATTCTCGTTATTCTTGTTGTGGTTGAGAAATTGAGGTCCTGACTTCTCATAATGGTAGCTCATACAGTTCGAAATCAGTGAATGCAACTAATAGAGTTGAGCTATAATAGAACAAATTACGATGACGTATTTTACAGCACCACATCCGCCCATTCACAGTTCATCGAACGTGCAAGTGTAGAATGTGGTAGCTTCAAGTAAACGGTTACACGACACTTTTTCATGATTAGTCATCCCCAACATCTCCATCAAAAGCGGACTTCCCGATTGTACGAGGGCCGTCCAAATTATTCTCGGTATCGGGGTACTTTAGCAGTGAGAAGGTACTCAAATCATTTCAATAGGTAACAACACTCCCTGTATAAATACAAAACTCCCTTCAGTTATCATCAATGCTATTCTAGTTATCCTTGGTGAAAGAAGACCAGAATGACTGATGCGACAATGTTGAGAAAATGATTACTGATTGAAAAAAATTGAGAAAAATGAAAAGAAAATGAGAAAATGAAAAGAAATTGAGGAAAATGATTAGTGATTACTTCTTGTTCCCCAACCTGGAAAAGATCTTCGTGGAAAGCATTTTTCTGACGATGAAGAGCTGAAGGCGGCAATTAGCGCACATTTTGGGGACAACGAGGAAAAATATTCTCTACAGGGTATTGAAAAGTTCGTTTCCCGAGCGAAACAAGTGCTTTGAGATTATATGGGACTAGATTGGGAATGAATTTTGTTCAGAATTTTTCGCCTTTTCCTTCACACCTATATCGAGAATACGTTGATAAAGTCTCTCGTAAATGGTACGCAGCGTGA